CCCCAAAACCCCAAAACCCCAAAACCCCAATCTCCAAATAATATTTAAAATGGCATTCCATTTCAGAGCCAATAGTAAAGCCTCTGCTTCTCAAGAGTAAGTCTTTATATGGGAAAAGACCCAAGTGTCAGATTAAGGATGTTAAATGCTTTTAGGGAAAATAATGTTAAAGAAACCGATTATTATACAATACATCAATCAAAGTTCTCCAACAATAAAGGTAGCCAGAAGATAGGAGATGATCAAGATGATATTGTGTATAATACACTTTCTAAAGTTGCTAATATTATTGGGTAAGATGGAAGCATAATTTTAGCAATTCAAGCAGTAAATAAAGCCAAGAGTAATGCATCAAGTTAATAAATAGGTAATCAAAGATCTAGAGGAGCTCATAATGGCTTCAACCAAGAAATGTATACCGATCTATTCAACCATAAGAAAAATGGCTCTTTATGCTTAAACAACGCCAAAAGAAGCAGTTCAAGGATCAGAAACGCCCAATTACACACTCGACTCGCTCCCTCCATAGAAGACGACTCAAACTGCTACTCCCCGTCCATCACCCACCTAAAATCCACTCCAGAGACCTTCCACAGACGCCAAAACCCTACTCTCCCTTCAAAAATCCTCTCTATCTCAAACCACCCCACAACCCACAAGTACCCTCCCTCTCACCTTCAGAAAATACAGCAACAACCTAAAAATCCGGAACAACAAATCCTCTCTGACCAACACCTTCATCAAAAAGAAGCTGAACATCCTTTCCTCTGACCGGGCCCAGCCAGGTCAGAATTCACGAACAAAATCTAAGAATTATAGTACGTCGATACTTTCTCTTGAGCCAAAGATAAATGTGGATGCTGTGAATGCGTTTAAAATGAAGTAATAAAGGGCTAAATAGCCAAGTGACTAAACTTGTGAAGAAAGTAGAGGAAATGAAAGCTGAGAGAGGTAAGAATAAATTGAATAGTATAGTTTTGAGGATTAAGGAAGAACAGAAGCTGAAGAGAAGGATTGAAGATTTAGAGGCTCAAGTACAGATAGATGCAGGATCGAGCAAGAATAAGAGTGATGTTATCACTCAGATGGGACAGGAGTTAAAATTTTGGCAAGAAAAGTCTAAGAAGGAGTCTGATTTGTTGAAAAAGAGGGCTGAAGCGGTTGAGGGGTTGACCAAGAATGCTGAAAATGATAGAAAATAAGATTGCTAAGCTTAGAGAAGAAAATATTAAACTAAAAGAAATGAATAAAAGTAATACCTCAAAAACAACTTTTGAGATAACCAAACTAAGAGAAAACATATTATATTTCATCGAAAAAATCAAAAACCTTGAAGATCAGAACAAACTCCTCCGCAAAGACCTTACCATCACCAAACTCGAGCTAAGCACCCACCCTCCCAATCCCCCTCCCCTCCACCCCCTTCCTACCCCCTCCTTCCCTCCTAAGGTACCCCAAAACCCCCTTAATCCCCCTTAAAACCTCCCTTTTCCCCCTTCCCAAAACTCCTCATTTCCCCCAAATCCTTCCTCCAAAATCCCCAAATTCCTTCTAAATTCCCCACTCAGGAACAAATCTCAAGTCTAAAATATAGGAAGAAGACGTACAGATTTATAGTTCTATTAAGACCAAGGAGTATAAGTTTAATGGTGTGTAAGAACTGAGTCAATTTTGAGCAAGAGAGGAGGGGTTTTGGGGTTTTGGGGTTTTGGGG